GCTCCGTGGGCGCCCGCGTGCGGGGCTGCTCCCCGAGACCCGCAGCGCGCCGGGGCTGCAAACAGGCTAAAAAGGCAGAGAGCCAAAATCAGGCGGCCAGCGCTGCACGGGGGAGAAGTGTCTTTGCGTAATCGGGATGTGCATCTGCAGCCAGGCTCCTGTTCAGTTGTTTGCACTGAAAGCACTGAAGAAGAACCAGGCCCAGAACAGAAGTGGTGCTGGGTCGTGCCTGCTCCTGCTGCCTGGGCTCGGGCTGACCCGGGCTCCGAGCTGCACGCGCTGTCTGGGGACGGTGAAACCGCCTCTTCCAGAGCAACGTGTCACCTCTCGTCGTACTGCTGACATTATGGAGGGTGTATTAGTGCGCAGTTCTTCCATGCTTGCATGGAAGAATACGGGTAGAAATCCTGAGTACAGGTTTATTGCAGCGCACGGCTTCCCAAATCTCTGTCAACATCAATATGTGTCTGAAATGCACTTTTATTGGCACTCTGGAGGCTGCCTTGCATGAAACAGTTGCTGGAGCAGCGGGAGTCTGTTCCAGGGGGATAGAGCAAATAACCTGTTAGCCTCTGTTTTGTGCAAAATACAAAGTTTCTCAACTTCAAAAAAGAAAAAAGGACCAAATTATTGTAAAAGTTTTTACAGGAGAGTTATGCAAGCATTGGGGTGCTTGCACAAAGTGGAAAAAGTGACTATCGAAACTGAACTTTTTTTTGTATTGGAATGTTTTTGTTTTCTGAATTTCACTATTGTGGTTTTAATCCTTGCTCTAGGATAATTTCAGATCTTCTTTAGGAATTCGTATTTATGCATTTTTTTCGTAAAATAATTGAAGTCATAATTCACAGTACATTCTCCTTATATTGCTATTTTACCTTTGCGGTTATTTTATCCTTTTTCTACTTTGTCCTCTGCTGGAACTGTTTTCTCCTTGGTCCAGAGAAAACCATCTGCATGTGGCAGAATAATTTGGCGGGGGGCAGTGGGGCTCCGCAGAGCCCGTGGGCAGAGCCAGCAGCGCCTGTCGTGTTTTCCAGTACAATGGCATGTGCTTGCAAGGCCCCAGCGGAGTTCCCGGGCGCGACGGGAGCCCCGGCGTGAACGGCATTCCCGGGACGCCCGGCATCCCGGGCCGCGACGGCCTCAAGGGCGAGAAGGGCGAGTGTATGCGGGAGAGCTTCGAGGAGTCCTGGACACCCAACTTCAAGCAGTGCTCGTGGAGCGCCCTGAATTACGGCATAGACCTTGGGAAAATAGCAGTAAGTTGCTGTTGCCAACGGTGCTCTGTTTTGCCAACTAAAGCAGTACCGGCAGCTTGTAAATTCAGCTGCAGGTCAGAGATGTCTGCAGATCAGAGACATCTCTGCAGAGATCCTCCTTTCAACCCGTGAGGGTGAACTTCTCAAAGATTTCCCCCAGGTCCATCTCAAATGTGTTTATACAGTTTCCAACATGTGCCCACTTGTTTATTCCTGTAGCAGCGTCTTCAAAAAATGAGGTGGCTGCTTTGAGAATACTTTTAGAAGACCAGGTTCAGTTTTCCCCATCTGTAGCTGAGGAGCTGGAAGGGATGCTACATAAAAAGTTCCTCCATAAGTAGGGCAAGATTTTTACCACATTATAAGGTATAATTGTTAATATAAGGTATAAGGTATTAATTGTACTTTAATTGACTTTATAACTTCTACCTCAGAATGGTCATTGAAAAGTATTACTGAAGAAAGGATCAGAATTGTTCAGGGTCAGAATTAACAAATCTTACCCAGTTCAACCCACCTATCCCGTCCTCTGCTGCAGTCCTTGAATATAAAGCTTGCAAACACAACAGTGCAAGCCTACGAGGGAGCTACAAATCCCAAGCCAGCAGGAGCAATGGAGCAGTGCGAGGCGTTGAGTGCAGCTTCCCAGTAGCTCATTGCACTGTATATAATCCCCAGAGGTAACTAGGTGACCAGCTTCCCAGCAGGTGTTCTCTAATTAAAGTTAAGAATTTCAATAGTCCCTCCTCCCCACTATCTTCTCTGAGGTGCTGTTTCTGATTTGCATCATATTGTATTTGTCAGGGAGCACTTTTTGTGTATGGGTGAGTGGGGAGGGAGGCAGGGAAAAGGAATAAAGGATATAGTCAAAACATTCTCGAAACAATTCCAGGAAGTACGTTCAAAATCAGAAGTTGCGGCTGAACCACTTTTGTCCCCCCGTAGGAGTGTACGTTCACGAAGATGCGCTCCAACAGCGCCCTCCGCGTGCTCTTCAGCGGGTCCCTGCGGCTAAAATGCAGAAACGCCTGTTGTCAACGCTGGTATTTTACCTTCAACGGAGCAGAATGTGCTGGGCCACTTCCTATTGAAGCCATAATATATTTAGATCAAGGAAGTCCCGAGCTGAATTCTACCATTAACATACACCGAACCTCTTCAGGTGCGTATGCCAGGACTGCGTGAACAGAAATATTTTCTAGCCGCTGTGAAGGGTGGTGGCCAAAGGGGTAGAGAACACAGACTCTGCTGTAGAAAGTCAAAAGACTCAAAAGGCAGAAGGGTAGTCCGTTAATACTTGTTCTGTTGTATAACTATCAATAACAGTAACGAAACTGGAATTATTTATAAATAGTTCTTTTCACTGTGGTATTTTTCATGATACTTTACATCCTGCAATTTAGAAATGGAAGAAGCTTCTGATGAGAAGCTCTTACCACATGCTATGTGGTAAAATTGCATTGCTGCCGAGTAGAAAGTGTTTTAGTCTGAATTATAGTACTGCTATTTGCAGTTATCTGTGCAGAACTAGACTAGACTTCATCCTCTAGGAATTTTTTGCATAATTTTCAGCTGAAATGCAAAAGCACCTCAAAAGTGAGATTACTTACTGGCTAAGCAAAAAGGAAATTAGAGAAGTCATTCCAACACAGAAGGATATGATGCTATGAAAAGGGGGTAAATGTACTAGCATGCAGTCTGGACTCTTCTGATGGTTGCTGGTTATACGCTGAGAAGCGTCTATAAAACCAAGGGTGTTGCATTAACTTGACAGATTTACGGCTATGAAAATTCCTCACGTGAGGTCAGTGGTTTCAGCTCTACGTGGTTCTCAGAGTCCAAGATTTCTGCTTAGAATGGAGCCTCAGTGGTTTCAGCTCTACGTGGTTCTCAAGTCCAAGATTTCTGCCTAGAATGGAGCTAGATAACTGTGAACAGCAGCACAGCTCTTCACGAAAGTCCATTTTCCTCCCTGTAAATAGAGCAGAGCTTCTGTAGCATTTTTCTTTTTGCACGGAGGGGTAGAGCTTGCCTGCCCTCATGACCCCGTCTCCAGCCGCGATGCGAGCGGACAGGACAGCAGTGGAAGCGGCGCGTCCCGCGGGTGCAGTGAAGCAGGATCTGGCACGCGCCTTTGCTGCCTTCCCCGCTCCCCACCCCAGCTATAGTGTTGCAAAAAGAGAGAGCTGGGTGGGATTGAAACCGTGTGCCAGCTACCAGATCATAAGCTGAAGTATTTAGAGGAGATACGCCTCCCGTTTAGCCATCCTGAGGATTACCCTCTGCTTCAGGTCATGTAACAGAGGCCAGCAGGGCACAGGGGATTCCCACCTATATTGCCACAATGATTTTTTTTTTCTTTACTTCTAAAAATGTTGTTCAGATTTAATTAAAATAGCACAAGCTTGCAATGAGTTGCTGCTGCTGCTCAGTATTTGCCTCCAGCTTGGCTTGTGCCACACGCAGTGCCCAGGACCGTGTCTGCTGCCCTAACACAGTTTTTGTCTTTGAACAGTGGAAGGTCTGTGCGAAGGGATCAACGCCGGCCTGGTGGACGTGGCCATCTGGGTTGGCACTTGCTCGGATTACCCAAGGGGAGACGCTTCTACTGGATGGAATTCAGTCTCCCGTATCATCATTGAGGAACTGCCAAAATAACTTCCCCCCTCCTTATTTTTTTATTATTTTCTACGATTTTCTTCAAAATGTATTTCATAGATATGGGTGCAAGTATTTGACTAAAATGCAACAAACTGTTGCATCTGTAGTGTTTTGTCTAACCTTCTTTTTGGTACACTGAAGGAACTTTTACAATAATCATTTTAGAATATAAATATCTGAAACAAGCTAGTTTTGTTTTTTAAGTCATTGTTTGGACTGAAATATGAACATGTACCACCATTTTAAGAATTGTAACTAACTTTTTTATATCGAATAAATAAATAAGACCTTTTACAAAAAAAATCAGGCTATTTTATTGGTCGGCAAACTGTTTAAGTACATCGTCTTACGACAGACATTTATGTTTTAGAAGACTTCAGACAAAGCTCCCAGCATTGCTTTAGGCTTCAAAATACACACCCACTTTTACAGTTACAAAACTTATATTTCCTTTCTCCAGTGAAATGAAAACTAATTCTCCTGTGTGTAGCCTGTCAGATCTCCCAGTCACTTTGGGGTTAATTAAAAGGTAGGCATATGAAATAGTTTGGAGGCCATGGAAATAATGGCTTTCGGGAAGGGTACATATTTAACTGCAGCCTCAAGCCTGGACAGAAAGGGTTAACACCGATCCTGCGAGCACAGTATTGGCAGCAGCATTTTAAGTGTTCGCTTCCAAAAATAAGTGATAGTGCTCATTGTTTTTTAAAGACATATAAATTCTAAAGGGAAACAGTCATATTTACATTACAAAAGCAAATTTGCATTAATGAAACAAAAAGCAAGAGATAAAATGCATGTATAACATGCGGAAATATCAACTGCTGCCAGAAATTAAAAGGAAATGCATTAAATCTGAGATTTTTTTTCCCCCCTCTATTTTGACCAGGGTGTCAATTTATCCCCAGGTTTCTCTCAACTGGCCAGCTCTGGGCTGCAGCTTTTTAGGGAGTCTTAGAGGAACGTGCCTGAAGCTAGGAGAGCACTGAGGCTTTCCCCTCGCTGCTGCAGCCCAGCACATGGGCGAGCTGGTGTTTATCTGTGGGAACTGTCCCTGCTTTCCTTGGCGCAGACGATGGCTGCAGGGCATGAGAACACAGAGCCGCTGCTATGAGCCGCGCTCTGCGCTGCGTTTCCAGGCGTTACGGCACAGTAACTGCTTGTGCACAGGCTGCAGCCTCTCTCTGCATTTGTCCTGCAGCACGAGTAGGCTGCCCTGGGCACAGAACATACTGACCAGGATAGCGTAAACGCTCGTGTTTTCTTACGATTTATTTCTATGTCCATATATGTGTATTTATAATGTATTTTGCATCTTGGATGGCAGACAACTCAATATTCCATTAAATTCCTTTTGCAGACTTGAAGACACACAACACCAAGGAAAAAACTCTTAAGGCACGAGCAGTTAATGAGTGTTAGCATTCGGGACAGTAATTTCACAGTAAGCTTTAAGTAAATTTGATCTCCAAACACACACAAAAGCTTTTGCAAAAACACAACCAAACAAAAACCCACCCAAGGTCAGCTATAATGGCCACATGTCATCTCAGCTGAGATACCACAGTATATTGCCAACCGCATCCGATTAGGGCGCGAGATCAGGGGAGCAGAAAGTGTAAATTTAAATATGTTAAAAGTTAAGCATAGGTATCATATGCCAATAGTATCAGTTGAAACAAACAAGGGGATCGTTGAGTGCAGATTCAAAATACAGAGCAGCTCTTGACATTTCCCAAGCTTTAACCTACAAGTGAAAGTAATTCCCAAATCTCTGCTTTAAAAGCCTTATTTTTAGGCTTAGGTTACACTTCTATGAACCAGCAAACAGCAGAAGCAGCTTTCTGGACAGTAATGTATTTTCTTAATGAAGAACTAACTCCCCCCTCCACAAGATCTCCCAAAACTACACAGCCTTGACAGCAATTTTGTCATGCAAGTAAACATTATTACTCAAATTGACTATGAGATGCATTTTTTTAGAATCTCTATTTCTCAAATATTATTAATCTTTGCTTTTTAAAAGTGCCTTGAAAATTGCAACATTATTTACATAATTATCAAAAAACCCTAATTTTTCTTATGTAACCTGCTTTTAATATTTTTTGGTCTGACCTTAGTGATGGAGACTGAATGTCTTGCTTGGAGCAACAGAGACAGACAGAAAGAAGGGTAAGTGGCCAGCGCTGTGCCATAGACTTTGGTCTGGTGTTAAAAACGAAGCAGCCAAAAACCACCCTGCAAGTCAGTTTCAGTAACAGACAAGAACTGTGGTTCATCAGATCGGCCATTATTCAAACAGCCCAGAAAGGAGAGCTGTCTGTTCACAAAACACGGCGAGTTTCCAGACTGCAGCCCCCAGAGGCAGTGTCTGGTTCCAGCAGCAGCCCAGAGCACTCTGGAGCACCAACTCAGGCACCTTCCACACAGGTGGATTGAGAAGACTCCAGACACCATTGTCAATAACTCCATCCATGCTCGCTTTGTGAGACTCAGAAAAAGACACTGTATTTGACATTTTAGCAGAATCCAGAATGGCTTTGATCTCAGTTTTCATTCCTTCCAGTCCTAGTGCTATTTCACAGATGCAGAAAATTGTTTCAAGTAGGCACTGCTGATCCCGAGCAGTCAGCCTGCAGAAGCCCGGGTGCACCCAGCAAAGGAGATGGAAGCTGGATGGATTTGCACAGTCTCCTGGTTCTCCCCTCCTGGCACTACATCAGCTCACAATGTCCAAGCAGACTGCTGAACTAAGGCTCTCGCAGATCATAAATACAAAAAATAAAGGATAAATCCTCCTGAACACAAGCTTGTACCTTTAATTATTTTCTTTTCTAAAACCAAGTAAAAAACTAGATACATTTTCATACACTACGAAGGTAATACAGCAGGCAGGAGTCACTCTGATCACATTGGCAATAATTCCTTTGTAAAATCCACGAATTCCTTCTCTCCTTTAAAGACACAGAAAAACATTTACTTTTAATGTACTTTAACAGGAATCAGACATAAAACAAGTTATGGTATTTTTCTTTCCTTTTGAGTGAGCACTTTAGGTTAGGAAAAATGATGTCAGAATTATTTTATACAAAAATGTTTAAAGATGTGATATATCAATTCTTAAGCCCCATTTTCTCTTCTGAGCAAAAAAAACCAGGACTAATTTAGCCTACACTTTGGTGTTTGTTTGTTTCTAACTTGGAGTATCTTTCTTTATGCGGCAAGAAATGCTTAAAATACCTGAAATTTCTGCAGCCTCTTCCAAAAAAGCATTTACATATTTAATCTCACTGAAGTTGACAGGGCTGAAATGCCTTGTGGTTCTGTGTTGTGTAATAAGTGAGCTGAGGGTCAGTACAACCAAAACAGGTCAGCTGCAAACATTAGCTTTCAATTTTAGAGAATTAGAGCACTTCTGATTCCCCTGGCTAGCAAGTCACACACCAACCCCTCCCAAATTGAATCACAATATTCATGTTAGTTTGGGTGACCTAAGAGTGTTAAAAAGTTTCAAATACTTGTGTTTCCAGCTCCACACTCCCTAACTTTCTAGGGGTCTAGGACACCTGGAGGGTTGTATGATGAAGGGAGGTCTTGGGAAGGGCTCAGGCAGGGTTTATACTCCCCTCCTCTGTGCTCTAGACTGCATTTATTGGTTTCATATTAGCACTGGGCCCAGACTGGCTGCCTATATTCACACTGTACTAGAACTAAGGAGCCTTCCTACAGAGCACAGCACTGAAGTGCACCCTGCTGAGACATCAAAGCTATTTTCACTAAGCACCAGCTTCAGCCTAAATGTTTTGTACTGTCTCTGAAGCAGAGCTGGCGCTGGGACAACGCAGCCTCCCTTATGTGGCACCTCTTATTATCCCCGCAAGTAGCCGACTGCATTTGTGTCTTTCTCAGAATAAGCTGCAACCCAGAAACGTTGTTCAGGGCAAGGTGAATACGAGCTGTGTCCTGCAAGGGTGGTCAACCTCAACAACTGGAGTTCTGCAGTAAAAACCTTCACATTCCCTGAGAAACTGAGGGAAGACACACATCTGGGAGAAGATACACAGAGCTGTGAGGAAACAGCTCTCTAAATGCCCTACAGGAAGCTGAACCTAGACTAGAAATGCCACAGGGTAACACAGGGACATCAGGATGAACAGCTCTGGCTGGCACTTCCTTCTGTCAGGGGTACGGAAAATGACCCCTCATCATATGGGGTAGTCTAAAGCGTTTCAGTGAGATTGCCCTAAGAGTCCCAAATGGCCAATTTGTTATTGTTTTTTAATCTTGCTAATCTGTAAGATAAATTTGTTGAGGAAGGCAGGAAGCAGGTAGCCCCAATCCTCACCTATCCTGCTTTGTCCTTAGATTATTGCTTTCAGTGGCCTCCAGCTCAGAACGACTTGGTGCAGCTAACGCTTTCTTTGCTCTGCGCTGCACTGCAGGCCAGCAGCGTAAAGCCACTAAATATGGTTCTGATTCCGTAAGGTAGAGCCCTTTTCCTGGATACTTCCCACATTTTGCTTCTGCATGCTCACCTCCACGTCCTGCGGATCACGTCGAGCACGCCGGAGTAGGTGTTATGCTGATCTTGAAGACGAGCTCGTACAACCTGATAGGGGTACGTTGCTGACACAGCAAATATTTTGGATACAGCTGCAGTGGTTATGTATTCCACAGTGTTCTAAAAGCAACACAAATTTCAAAGCTTGCTATAATATGATTCAGATTAGCCACTTTCTCAGAATCCTATTTAATTTTTGTAATCTGAACTCTAGATTTTTCCCCTTTAAGTAGTAAGGCATTTCAAAAAATGTCAATGTTTTATCCAAAACTAGGACTAGCCAGCTGTGGATCACTTGTAATAGAAAAGTGAAAAAGCTTGATATGTTATTTTATTTATTCACTCCTATGAACCTATTGATACTTTTTAAACATGGCCGTTCAGTGACCTAAAGAAATGCAGCACATTTTCAGTTGTTCACAGGCCACAGAAGGTTTTCATTCTCAGTAATCTTACCAGCTTTTTATCTGGTACTCTGTTCCTGTACTTGTTGTATCTCAGTTTCAAGTCCTCATACGCCATGAACTGAAGTGCTCCATGTGAAGTTCCAAACAGACCCGGCACAAATCCCTAAAACAAGGAATAAAACAAGGTTAAACAGCAGCCCACAAATGTCTGCACAACTTGCCAGAGCTCGGTTTAACCCCCACATCAGTCCTTCACAAATGTGAACACACACTTGTTGCTGTGCAGAATGACTCAAAACCCACGTGGGCCAGTTTTCTTATGGCAAGCATCACACAAAAGTGTAGTAAATGTTCACAGAGCCCACACGACTTACAGACTAAGACGCCTAAAGAACATTTAAGGCAAAACAAGCGGATTAGGGACTTAAAACTAGCAAAGCACTCACAGCACGGATCAGGACAGTGAGAATACAAGCAAGTTAGTTACTTTCTTGTAAAGGTGCTGCAGGGCATCTGCCCCTTCCAGGAACTGGGCCCAAGCCCACTTATTTCCACCTGAGACTGCTGTGTCAGCTACTGAGAGCATCAGATGAGGATGACCCTCGGGAGCAGAGGCACAGAGAACATTGCGAGCAAGTCCTGGAGTTATCCATCGCTCTGGGTGTGTACACACACCTCCACAGTACACATACAATGGAAAGCTGAAAGGCACCTATGAGGTGCCCTTATCTCCTATAAGGACTATATATGTATCTATGTTTTACTGTAAATCAATAAATTAAAGGCTTAGATCAGTTCAGAGCATTCCTCCCAACTTTTAACTGCAACAACAAAACTGTAACAAATCAATCTGGGGAGTGTTCCTCACTTGTAAGAGGCAGAACAGACAGAAAAACATAACAGGAAAATGTAAAGAAACCTTTCCTTTTTTCCTTTCTGGAAAAAAAAAATAATTTGAGTGAAGGGGTGAAAAGTTCATCTCTGGAATTTCTAAAAAAAAAAAAAAAAAAAAAAAAAGGCAGGAGTTGCTGAAAACTAACTGATAGCTGCATAGGTTCCGAGATGCACTAGTTCTTTTTTTGGAGTATTAATCACATCCACCAGAAAAATACAGTGGCAAGTTAATTATCTTGGATGAAAATGAGTTTTAACAGCCAAAAGCTTGCTGAAAAGTGCTGCAGAGGGACAGTTATAAAACAGTAAAGGATGAAAATGTGGACAAAAGGACTAGAAGAATCAACATTCCTCAGAAATCACTGGTATTGAGCAGTTTTATCAGCTTTCACATGGTGAGTTTTGTTTTATGATCCATTCAGCTATGACAGAGAAGATGTGTCCAGACAAAGTTCTGTATTAGACTAAATCAGAATTGGGAATGCTAAATCCATGCAATATACTACTATACTATATGCTCAATATACTAGTAGGGACCTGGAATGAAGAAAAGGCATCCTGGTTCACATGACAGAGAAGATGTGTCCAGACAAAGATCTGCATTAGATTAAATCAGAACTGGGAATGCTAAATCCATGCAGGTCAATATACTACTAGGGGCCTGGAATAAAGAAAAGGCATCCTGGTCCATTTGCATTTCTAGTGTACAACAGCACAAAAAAAATGAGTTGCTTCGTAAGTTTCTAACTTGCAGAAAGAAATAAAAGAACAAAACGGATGAAACCTGCACAAGGCTTCTGGGACTTCAGAGATCAGCTTTCAAGAAGCTACAGATCTGGTAAATCCAAGGTGTAAGTAACACTCATTGAGGAAGGGGTTTTTGAGTACTTTTTTTGACAGGAAGGAGATGAATTTGTTATCGGAGTAGAAAATAATGGTCATGAACTGATCAGCAAACACGGGTGATGAGATGTGTTAGGGACTGTACCCTATAAATCCTACACGGGTGATGAGATGTGTTAGGGACTGTACCCTATACATCCTATGTTAGGATGATGCATTGATACCATAGGTGAATGTGGTCATATTTTTCCCACTGACAAGAGAAGAATGCAAGTTAACAACTATGAGTGCTAAAAATTTGAATTTAAGTCAGTGTATTTGGATAACTTGCACCCAAGAGTCCTACAGAACCTACTGATGAGATTTGCTAACTGAACACCAACATTAGACTTGTACTGCTGGGGAAAATTTCCAAAGACTGAAGGACTTCTGGTGTTTGCCCACTTTTAAAAGGGGCAAAAGTTAGGAAGAAGCATTTTGTTCCTAGTGTCAGAAGTCGACATTCACTGACACGTGGCATACTAGCATTATATTTTTTGCAGAAAAAAAAAATAGGACAATTCTTGAGAGTGCTCTTGTTTTATAGTATTACTGCATTATACACAGCAGGAAAATAACCAGGCTGAACTAAAATAGATTTCTTCACACCTTCCAGGCATGACTAAAGTATCCTGATGTCATGGCCTGAAGGAAAGGGGAGGCACAAAGAAGTCCAATTCCAGTTGCCATCTGTTTCCCTAAACAGACCACACTTTGAAGTCTACAAAGTTTATGAATCTACAGATGACATATTATAGATCTCAATAACTAGGAGGCAAATGAACAGTTGTGAAGGTGTCCATTGTGGAAGAAAGAATTAACGGCTACCTTAGTCACATGTTATATTCCACAAGGCATTAGACTGATTCAGTGGAAGAAAGCATTAGCAGCAAGACAGATTGCTACCATCCTCATCCAAATCCTAATTAGAGGAAGACTCCAAAAAGATTAGAAGCAAATTGTATTTACTCTCATTTCATCATTATCTCCCAAGAGAAAAAAAAAAAAAAAAGCTTATATTCTACATTCTTCCTTTTCCTTATGATTCAGCCTTTTTACTGCAGTTATTTAGTAGGGAAGAAGATTTACAGAATAAAAAAAGGTGAGCTTATACAAACAAACTGCATTTTTTTTTTTTAGGCAAGTCTCATAGCACTGCAGAGTGGCGACAGCCCATCCTGGAACCTTTTTTAAATTGCATTACCTTATACAAGCCACGTATGCCCTCTTTCTTGTATATCTTGAGGAGAGCATCCAGCATTCCCTTGTACTGCCGCTTTGACGGGTCAGCGCCAGCGTCATACTGCAACACGAGACGAGTCTTCGTTACCCATATGGGGTTTGTGATACAGAGGGTCATGGCTCCTGAGAACAGATGGAAATTAGACTGGCTGTTACACGCCCCCTAAAGCTCGCCCCAGCTTCTTCAGCTCAGTGCACCATGGGCTTCCACAAGGGCAAAACCACCATTCTAAACGACTGCTTGTATTACTTAAAACAGGCAAAGTTTAGGCACAGGATTGTTCTCTCTGCCTTCGAAGTTCACATCCAAGTCCAACCTACTAGTTGCTCTAGTGGAATCAATTGCCTTTCTTTTATCACCTTTCAACAATCAGCAGTGTAATCTGTACTAGATAGGAAAGTAGAAATTAAGTAACTTCATTTTGTGCTCTGATTATCTCAATTAGTATTCATATATATAATTTTTCAAAATGTAGTGGATACCTTGATCATGATTAACATGCTTAGCTAGATTGCCACGATAACACAGACAACCTGTAGTTTTGTAATTTATTCTAATGCAATAGTAAAACAGCTAATTTCTTTTTTTTTTACATCAAATAACATAACATTTTCAACAATTAAATTGCTATAGCATCCTAATAAAAAGTCTTCTCAATTGCCTAGATTAGTATGTATAGTAAAACAGCTAATTTCTTTTTTTTTTTACATCAAACAACATAACATTAAATTGCTATAGTATCCTAATAAAAAGTCTTCTCAATTGTCTAGATTAGTATGTACGAAATAGAAGCATATATAAGAACATATACTAGAAACAAAGTAATAAAAGTCAAGTTGATAAAAAAAAATGTTATTTTTATTTTGGATTTATGGTTTCTAAGAAAACTTGGAGCTTAAATTGAAAAACTTTCAAGGACCAATGATCAGATCAGCTATTCTACTAACTGCAACAAGCCTTCTCTTTTCCAAGTCTGTGTTCAACACGTAATGCGTTAGTAAGCTGATAATAAGTTACATAGCTTATGCTTTGGGATTTAAAGTAGTACTACTAGTGGAAAACACACCCACACAAGAGAAAAAAAAAAAGCCAGAAAGTATTTTAACAACTGCTAATTGTGAGCTACCTAAAGATCACAGACATCCATCCATCTATTCATCTTACATACACGTACTGCCTGCAAATAAATTAATGATGTTTATTTGGACTGAAACACACTTACCATCTGTAAGAAAAAGCAGCACTGACAGACAAATGCAGCATATGCACAGGTTAGAAACAAACGTTAATCATCTTTGCATGTAGCTCACCTGCCTCTGCAGCTGACACCAGGTGTTCGGTTGCACTTAGGCTTTCCAGCTTCCCTTCCTTTTTGTAAGCTTTGATGGCATTGTAACTGGAAATCACAAGAGAGATTTTGGTAAAAGAAAAGAAAAAACATAACTAGGTACATAAGGTACATAACTAAAAAAAAAAAACCCACATAAAATTCACTTCAGAGATGATCAGGAAGAGCATTACGTCACTTAACCTTACAAAACAGATGTGTCAGGAAAATATCTCTGTTTACTTGATTACTTGCTGAACAGTTAATTCTTTAAAGGGAACTACAGAAATATAAATTTAAATTGATGAATTATTACTGTCAGAAGCAACATGAACAACATATTGAAACAGTTATCTCCAAAGATAAAGTTATCTTTAAAGAAACTGATTAGATAGTCCCCCTTTTATTTAAAGAGAGTGGCAGGTATCTATTTCGTAGCTCAGGGATACACTGAACTTTCTCTCGACCCAATATCTTGTCTTGCCATCTACTTTGTGGACTGGGAAGTAGTCAACAGGAGCTGGACTATGACTTGTAGCGAAGACTGAGGAGCAAAGTCCAGCAATAACAGAGTCTAGAGAACTACTGAGTGAGCTTCATACAGGCATGACAAAAAAACTTTCCCCAAAATCTTTCAATGAGCTGGGGACAGCAGGAAATCAGTTTACAGTTATATAGCTGATAAAGTAGAAAATAATAAATATTAAAAAAAAACAAATAAAACCACACAAAAACAGCCTTTATAAGCAAAGCATATCAATTCATAAAACAAACGAAGATACTCATGGCCACTAGAAGAACTAAACATCAGTAAAACATTTAGCTTTAGTAAACATTTTATTCTTTAGTTTTTATCATATTTCACAGCTTAAGCTCTTATTTTCTGCATATTTTTAGGCACAGTTTATCAACACTTTTAGAAGATTCTTAGCTAGCAATGTCACAACCTCCCCAGTTCCCTAGTTCTTCGGAAGCACCGTGGTGTGAAGCATCATGCACTGTGCCTGACAAAGGAACCAGTCTCTGCCTCAAATTGCTTTCGTTCCAACAGACTTGGACTTCCCAGAAGAATCACGAGTTTATTTAGCACATTTTTTATACCTTCCCTCTCCCTCACCCCTGCAAAAGGGCCAGCCAATATCTGAGGCTTAAGTACACACGTGAAACATTTTACAGTTCTACTTACAAGAAAAAGTAAAGTCCCCAGGAAGCCCCGGCTCCCCACACGTTTGGAGTCACTCCTTGATACAAGCCCCGCAATCCTTCATGCTTCCAGACTGTGGTCATACAGTGGAGAATCCCATTGTACTTTGGCCTCAGCTCCAATCCATCACTTACTAGTTAACGGAGAGACAACATCAAAAAATGTTTCAGAAAACATGAAGTTCAGCTGTGTAGGAGCCACCATGTGGCCTCCAACCAAGGCTGCAGTAAACACACAGACTTAAATGATTAGCTGCATTTTAAAGGTGTGCAAGAGTTAGGGTTTAGAGCTTTCACAAGAGTCTACAGTTTGCTACCGGGAATGGGAAAGAATGTTAATCACAACTCTTATGGGGATGGGAAGAAGTACCTAAATGACATCTAAACTCAGAAGATACCATGTTACTCCATGCCATAAAAAAGATACATTCTCGGAGTACTGAAAAACAGCACACAAGATATTATGTTAAAAGATGGAGTTCAGATCTAAGTGATTTGGATGAGACTTCTGTAGAAAACCTATGAGCCTTGGATCAGTCCAACCAAAAGTCAACAGACTGAAATCAAGAACTAAAGTGAAAAAATTATATTCAATCGCAGGACAACTTAGATTGGAAGAGACATCCAGAGGGCACCAATCCAACTCTCTGCTCAAAACAGGCCTAATTAAATCAGGTTGTTAAGGACATGTCCAGTCATCTCTGGCTTGGAGAGACTATAACCTCTTTGGACTATAATCTCTTCCGGGATTTGATCATCCACACAAAATGGGTAAACCTGTGTCTGTTGCCTCTTCTTCTATTGCTGAGCATCACCAAGGAGAGTCCAATGCCAACTTCTCAACATCCTCTAACTGGAGAGTCACAGACAACAATAATGTCTCCCCTTACCCGTTTCCTTGAATCTGAATAGATCCATCTCTCTCAGCCTCTCCTCTTATGGCCTGTTCTATGGTTTCCTAACTAGCTTGATGGTCGATGGCCTCTCCTGGACTTAGTCTAGACTATCCTTATCCTTTGTCCTGAAAATCCTCCTTGTATCAGTGACCTCCTTGAAACCCAGACTGGAAACAGTGCTTCAGATGTGGCCTCAGAAGCGCCACTCTTAAGAGGTATACTCTTACAGGTCAGGGTTGTGAGAGGCACAAATAAGTGTTTAAATCCTAGTTTTGGATTTATCTGATCAGATAATGCAGCCTAAAGGTAACAGCGCCTTCTGCAGTCTCTGGGAACATCCTAAAAGTTTTGCCTTGAGATGGGAGACAAAGGAACCTGAAACTATCCGCTTTGGCCTCCTGCTTGCCCATTCTAACTCACGCAGCCACCCTGCCAAAAAGCCTGTCATTATGCAACTACATGTGGACTTGGGCAAAACCTTGCAGCTTCGGAAACCATATCGGGCCCTCCTCCCCCTCTGCTGCCTCCTGAAAGAGTGGGGAAAGGGGCCGGTCACTAACCGAGAACCCCCTCGCAAAATGAGGCCAGGAAAACTTCAGCAATAAGGGCGAGCTCTGAGGAGGCTCCCGCGGGACGGCAGGAGCTGCCTGCCCCCTCCCCGCGCCCGCAGCTGCCGTTTCGGCCCGAGGAGCCGTGGCGGCTCCCCCCCCCCGCGCCCCCGCCCCCCCCCCGCCTCCCCGGGG